CAGCGTAAGGTACAGCTGGGGGCGAGCAGGACAGAAAAGGGTACAGCCAGGGCCAGCAGGGCAGGGTTAGCCAGGGCCAGTATAGGAGGCTAGAGTATAGCTAGGGCGAGCAGGGCAGAGTGAGGTACAGCTAGGGCGTGCAGGGCAGGGTAGCATACAGCTAGGGCCAGCAGGGAGCGTAGGTTACAGCTAGGGCCAGCAGGGATCATAGGGTACAGCTAGGGCCAGTATAGCAGGCTAGTGTTAGGGCGAGCAGGGCAGGGTAGGGTACAGCCAGGGCCACTAGAGAAGGGTAGGTTAGTTTACAGCCAGGGCCAGTAGATCAGGGTAGGGTACAGATAGAGCCAGTGGGGCAGGGTACGGTATAGCCAGGGCCAGAAGGGCAGGGTAGGGTACAGCTAGGGCCAGCAGGGAGCGTAGGGTACAGCTAGGGCCAGTAGAGAAGGGTAGGGTATAGCAGGGCAGGGTATCGTACAGCAAGGGCCAGCAGGGTAGTGTAGGGTACAGCCGAGGCGAGCAGAGCAGGGCAGGTAAGGTTACAGCTAGGGCCACTAGAGAAGGGTAGGTTAGTTTACAGCCAGGGCCAGTATATCAGGGTAGGGTACAGATAGAGCCAGTGGGGCCGGGTACGGTATAGCCAGGGCCAGAAGGGCAGGGTAGGGCACAGCTCAGGGTAGGGTACAGCTAGGGCCAGCAGGGAGCGTAGGGTACAGCTAGGGCCAGTAGAGAAGGGTAGGGTATAGCTATGGCGAGCAGGGCAGGGTATCGTACAGCAAGGGCCAGCAGGGTAGTGTAGGGTACAGCCGAGGCAAGCAGGGCAGGGTAGGGTAGGGTTCAGCAAGGGCGAGCAGGGCAGGGTAGGGAACAGCCAGGGCCAGCAGGGCAGCGTAGGGTACAGCTAGGGCCAGTAGAGCAGGGTAGGGTAGGTTACAACCGGGGGGTGAGCAGGGCATGGTAGGGTACAGCAGGGGGCGTTTGTACAGCTACTGCCACTAGAGCAGGTTAGAGTACAGCTAGGGCCACTAGAGCAGGGTAGGGTACAGCTGGGGCCAGTATAGGAGGCTAGAGTACAGCCAGGCCCAGTATAGCATGCTAGAATACAGCCAGGGCCAGCAGGGTAGCGTATATACAGGGCAGCAGGGCAGGGTAGGGTATAACCAGGGCCAGCAGGGCAGGGTAGGGCACAGCCAGGGCCAGTCAGCTGGGTAGGGCAGGGTAGGGCAGGGTAGGGTAGGGTAGGGTACAGCTAGGGCCACTAGAGCAGGGCAGCGTAGGTTAAAGCTGGGGGCGAGCTAGCCAGGCCCAGTAGGGCAGGGTAGGGAACAGTTCAGGGTAGGGTATATACAGGGCAGCAGGGCAGGGTAGGGTATAGCCAGGGCCAGGAGGGCAGGGTAGGGTATAGGCAGGGCGAGCAGAGCAGGGCAGGTAAGGTTACAGCCAGGGCTACTAGAGCAGGGTAGGGCACAGCTCAGGGGAGGGTATATACAGGGCAGCAGAGCAGAGTAGGGTATAGCCAGGGCCAGCAGAGCAGGGTAGGGTACAGCCTGGGCCAGCAGGGTAGGGTAGGGTAGAGCCAAAAGGGCAGAGTACGGTAATGCTAGGGCCAGTAGGGCAGGGTAGGGTACAGCTGGGGGCGAGCAGGGTAGGGTACAGCCAGGGCTGGCAGGGCAGGGTAGGGTACAGCTAGGGCCAGCAGGGGGCGTTTGTACAGCTACTGCCACTAGAGCAGGTTAGAGTACAGCTAGGGCCACTAGAGCAGGGTAGGGTACAGGCAGGGCCAGTAGATCAGGGAGGGGTAAAGTACAGCCAGGGCCAGCAGGGCAGCGTAGGGTACAGCCAGGGCCAGCAGGGTAGGGTAGGGTAGAGCCAAAAGGGCAGAGTACGGTAATGCTAGGGCCAGTAGAGCAGGGTAGGGTACAGCTGGGGCCAGTATAGGAGGCTAGAGTACAGCCAGGGCCAGTATAGCATGCTAGATTACAGCCAGGGCCAGCAGGGTAGTGTAGGGTACAGCTAGGGCCAGTATAGCAGGCTAGTGTTGGGTGGGCAGGGCAGGGTTGGGTACAGCCAGGGCCAGTAGAGCAGGGTAGGGTACAGCTGGGGGCGAGAGGAACAGGGTAGGGTGCAGCTAGGGCTTGTGTAGCAGAGTAGGGTATAGCCAGGGCGAGCAGGACAGGCTAGGGTACAGCTGGGGCCAGTAAGGCACTAAGGCAGTAAGGCCTAAGTACAGCAGGGCAGTGTAAGGTACAGCTGGGGGCGAGCAGGACAGTGAAGGGTACAGCTAGGGTCAGTATAGCAGGCTAGGGTATAGCTAGGGCGAGCAGGACAGTGTAGGGGCTAGTAGCATACTAGGGCTAGTATAGCTTGCTAGGTCACAAGCTGGGGGAGAACAGGGCAGGGTAGGGAACAACTAAGGCCAGTTGGGAAGAGTAGGGTACAGCTGGGGGCAAGCAGGGAAGCGTAGGGTATACTAGGGCCAGTATAGTAGGCTAGTAGGACAGGGTAGGGTACAGCTAGGGGCGAGCAAGACAGGGTAGGGTGTAGCCAAGGCTAGTGTAGCAGAGGATAGCCAGGGGGAGCAGGGCAGGCCATGGTCAGCAGGGTAGTGTAGGGTACAGCTAAAGCCACTATAGGACCGTAGGGCACTGTAGGATACAGCCAGGAGGATACAGCCAGGGCCAGCAGGGCAGGGTAGGGTACAGATAGAGCCAGTAGGTCAGATTAGGGTACAGCTGTGGTTGAGCAAGGCAGGGTAGGGCACAGCCCAGGGTAGGGTATATACAGTGTAGCAGGGCAGGGTAGGGTATAGCCAGGGCCAGCAGGGCAGGGTAGGGTACAGCCTAGGGCGAACAGGCCAGGGTACAGCTAGGGCCAGTAGGGCAGGGTAGGACACAGCTAGGGGCGAGCAGGCCAGCCCTACTCGCCCCCAGCTGTACCCTACCCTGCCCTGCTGGCCCTGGCTGTACCCTACCCTGCTTGCCCCCAGCAGTACCCTACCCTACCCTGCTCTAGTGGCCCTAGCTGTACCCTACCCTGCTCTAGTGGCAGTAGCTGTACCCTACGCCCCCTGCTGGCCCTAGCTGTACCCTACCACGCCCTGCTCGCCCCTAGCTGTACCCTACCCTGCTCTACTGGCCCTGGCTATACCCTACCCTGCTCGTTCCCGGTTGTACCCTACCCTGCTGGCCCTGGCTGTACCCTACCCTGCCCTGCTGGCCCTGGCTGTACCGCGAGCAGGGAGTGTAGAGTACAGCTAGGGCCAGTAGAGCAGGGTAGGGTATAGCTATGGCGAGCAAGGCAGAGTAGGGTATAGCCAGGGCCGGCAGGGCAGGGAGTGTAGAGTACAGCTGGGGCCAGTAGAGCAGGGTAGGGTATAGCTATGGCTAGCAGGGCAGGGTTGGGTACAGCCAGGGCAGCGTAGAGTACAGTGAGGGCCAGTTGAGCAGGGTAGGTATAGCTAGGGCGAGTAGGGCAGGATTGGGTTCAGCCAGGGGCAAGCAGGGCAGGGTAGGGTATAGCCAGGGCCAGCATGGCAGGGTAGGTTATAGCCAGGGCGAGCAGGGAGCGTAGGGTACAGCTAGGGCCAGTAGAGCAGGGTAGGGTATAGCTATGGCGAGCAGGGCAGGGTACAGCCAGGGCAGCGTAGAGTACAGTGAGGGCCAGTAGAGCAGGGTAGGGTATAGCTAGGGCGAGTCGGGCAGGATTGGGTTCAGCCAAAGGCAAGCAGGGCAGGGTAGGGTATAGCCAGGGCCAGCATGGCAGGGTAGGGTATAGCTATGGCGAGCAGGGCAGGGTATGGTACAGCCAGGGCCAGAAGGGCAGGGTAGGATACAGCCAGGGCCAGCAGGGCAGGGTAGGGTACAGCCAGGGCCAGCAGGGCAGGGTAGGGTACTGCTGGGGGCAAGCAGGGTAGGGTACAGCCAGGGCCAGCAGGGCAGGGTAGGGTACAGCTGGTGGCGAGTAGGGCAGGGTAGACAGTGAGGGCCAGCAGGGCAGGGTATGGTACAGCCAGGGCCAGCAGGGCAGGGTAGGGTACAACCGGGGGCGAGCAGGGTAGGGTATAGCCAGGGCCGGCAGGGTAGGGTATAGCCAGGGCCGGCAGGGCAGGGTAGGTTATAGCCAGGGCGAGCAGGGAGCGTAGGGTAAAGCTAGAGCCAGCAGGGCAGGGTAGGGTACAGCTAGGGCCAGTAGAGCAGGGTAGGGTATAGCTATGGCGAGCAGGGCAGGGTACAGCCAGGGCAGCGTAGAGTACAGTGAGGGCCAGTTGAGCAGGGTAGGGTATAGCTAGGGCGAGTAGGGCAGGATTGGGTTCAGCCAAAGGCAAGCAGGGCAGGGTAGGGTATAGCCAGGGCCAGCAGGGCAGGGTATAGCTAGGGCGAGCAGGGCAGGGTAGGTTACAGCCGGGGGCGAGCAGGGTACAGCTAGGGCGACTAGAGCATGGTAGGGTACAGGCAGGGCCTGTAGGCAGGGCCCTAGGGTACAGCTAGGTCCAGCAGGGCAGCGTAGTGTACAGCCGGGGGCGAGCAGGGAGCGTAGGGTAAAGCTAGGGCCAGCAGGGCAGGGAAGGGAAAAGCCAGGACTGGTAGGGCACAGCTGGGGGCGAGGCAGCCCTGCCGGCCCTGGCTATACCCTATCCTGATCGCTCCCGGCTGTACCCTACCCTGCTCTACTGGCCCTAGCTGTACCCTATGCTGCCCTGCTGGCCCTGGCTGTTCTCTTCCCTGCCCTGGTCCCCATACCTGTACCCTACCCTGCTCTACTAACCCTAGCTGTACCCTAGCCTGCTATAATGGCTCTAGTTGTACCTACCCTGCCTACGCTGCCCTGCTGGCCCTGGCTGTACCCTATCCTGATCGCTCCCGGCTGTACCCTACCCTGCTCTACTGGCCCTAGCTGTACCCTATGCTGCCCTGCTGGCCCTGGCTGTTCTCTACCCTGCCCTGCTCCCCATACCTGTACCCTACCCTGCTCTACTAACCCTAGCTGTACCCTAGCCTGCTATAATGGCTCTAGCTGTACCCTACCCTGCCCTACTCGCCCCCAGCTGTATCCTAGCATGCTATAATGGCTCTAGTTGTACCTACCCTGCCCTGCTCGCCCCCAGCTGTGCCCTACCAGCCCTGGCTGTACCCTACCCTGCCCTGCCCTGCTGGCCCTGGCTGTACCCTACCCTGCCCTGCTGGCCCTAGCTGTACCCTACGCTCCCTGCTCGCCCTGGCTATAACCTACCCGGCCCTGCCGGCCCTGGCTATACCCTACCCTGCTCGCCCCCGGCTGTACCCTACGCTGCCCTGCTTGACCTTGCTGTACCCTAAGCTGGCCTGCTCGCCCTAGCTATACCCTACGCTGCCCTGCTCGCCCCCGGCTGTAACCTACCCTGCCCAGCTCGCCCTAGCTATAACCTGCCCTGCTGGCCCTTGCTATACCCTACCCTGCCCTGCTCGCCCCTGGCTGTACCCTACCCTGCCTTACTCGCCCTTGCTGTATCACAACCCCTGCCCTGCTCGCTCCCGGCTGTACCCTACCCTCTTCTACTGACCCTAGCTGTACCCTACGCTGCCCTGCTGGCCCTGGCTGTTCCCTACCCTGCCCTGCTCGCCACAGCTATACCCTACCCTGCTCTACTGGCCCTAGCTGTACCCTACCCTGCCCTGCTGGCCCTCACTGTCTACCCTGCCCTACTCGCCCCCAGCTGTACCCTAGCCGACTATACTGGCCCTGGCCGTACTCTAGCCTCCTAAACTGGCCCCAGCTGTACCCTACTTTGCTCTACTGGCCCTGGCTGTACCAAACCCTGCCCTGCTCGCCCTGGCTGTTCCCAACCCTGCCTTGCTCGCCCCTGGCTATACCCTACGCTGCCCTGCTGGCCCTGGCTGTACCCTACGCTGCCCTGCTGGCCCTGGCTGTACCCTACCCTACCCTGCTCTAGTGGCAGTAGCTGTACCCTACGCCCCCTGCTGGCCCTAGCTGTACCCTACCACGCCCTGCTCGCCCCCGGCTGTAACCTACCCTGCCCAGCTCGCCCTAGCTATAACCTGCCCTACTGGCCCTTGCTGTACCCTACCCTGCCCTGCTCGCCCCTGGCTGTACGCTACCCTGCCTTACTCGCCCTTGCTGTATCACAACCAAGGGGGCGTAGGTAAGGGTAGGTTACAGCTCCCGGCTGTAACCTACCCTGCTCTACTGGCCCTAGCTGTCCCCTACGCTGCCCTGCTGGCCCTGGCTGTTCTCTACCCAGCCCTGCTCGCCATAGCTATACCCTACCCTGCTCTACTGGCCCTAGCTGTACCCTACCCTGCCCTGCTGGCCCTCACTGTCTACCCTGCCCTACTCGCCCCCAGCTGTACCCTACGCTGCCCTGGCTGTACCCTACGCTGCCCTGCTGGCCCTGGCTGTACCCTACCCTGCCCTAGTGGCAGTAGCTGTACCCTACGCCCCCTGCTGGCCCTAGCTGTACCCTACCCTGCCCTGCTCTCCCCTGGCTGTACCCTACCCTGCCTTACTCGCCCTTGCTGTATCACAACCCCTGCCCTGCTCCCTCCTGGCTGTTCCCTACCCTGTTCTACTGGCCCTAGCTGTACCCTACGCTTCCCTGCTGGCCCTGGCTGTTCCCTATCCTGCCCTGCTGCCCTGGCCGTACCCTACCCTGCCCTGCTCGTCATAGCTATACCCTACCCTGCTCTACTGGCCCTGGCTGTACCCTACCCTGCTCGCTCCCGGCTGTACTCTACCCTGCTCTACTGGCCCTAGCTGTACCCTACGCTGCCCTGCTGGCCCTGGCTGTTCCTTCCCTGCCCTGCTCGCCCTAGCTATACCCTGCTCTACTGGCCCCCTAGCTACCCTACGCTCCCTGCTCGCCCTGGCTATAACCTACCCTGCCCTGCCGGCCCTGGCTATACCCTACCCTGCTCGCTCCCGGCTGTAACCTACCCTGCTCTACTGACTGGCCCTAGCTGTCCCCTACGCTGCCCTGCTGGCCCTGGCTGTTCTCTACCCAGCCCTGCTCGCCATAGCTATACCCTACCCTGCTCTACTGGCCCTAGCTGTACCCTACCATGCCCTGCTGGCCCTCACTGTCTACCCTGCCCTACTCGCCCCCAGCTGTACCCTACTCTCCCTGCTGGCCCTGGCTATACCCTACCCTGCTCGCTCCCGGCTGTACTCTACCCTGCTCTACTGGCCCCCTAGCTGTACCCTACGCTGCCTGCTGGCCCTAGCTGTACCCTACCCTGCCCTGCTCGCCCCCAGCTGTGCCCTACCAGCCCTGGCTGTACCCCACCCTGCCCTGCTGGCCCTAGCTGTACCCTACGCTCCCTGCTCGCCCTGGCTATAACCTACCCTGCCCTGCCGGCCCTGGCTATACCCTACCCTGCTCGCCCCCGGCTGTACCCTACCAGCCCTGGCTGTACCCTACCCTGCCCTGCTGGCCCTTGCTATAACCTACCCCCTGCTCGACCCTGGCTGTACCCTACCCTGCCTTACTCGCCCTTGCTGTATCACAACCCCTGCCCTGCTCGCTCCCGGCTGTACCCTACCCTGTTCTACTGACCCTAGCTGTACCCTACGCTGCCCTGCTGGCCCTGGCTGTTACCTACCCTGCCCTGCACGCCCTGTTTTACGGGACCTTACCCTGCCGGCCCTAGCTGTACCCTACCCTGCCCTGCTCGCCATAGCTATACCCTACCCTGACTGGCCCTAGATGTACCCTACCCTGCCCTGCTGGCCCTCACTGTCTGCCCTGCCCTACTCGCCCCCAGCTGTACCCTAGCCGACTATACTGGCCCTGGCCGTACTCTAGCCTCCTATACTGGCCCCAGCTGTACCCTACTTTGCTCTACTGGCCCTAGCTGTACCCTACGCTCCCTGCTCGCCCTGGCTGTCCCTTCCCCGATCTACTGGCCCTGCCTGTACCCTACCCTTCCTTGATCTACTGGCCATGCCTGTACCCTACCCTGCTCTAGTGGCCCTAGCTGTACCCTACCCTGCTCTAGTGGCAGCTGTACAAACGCCCCCTGCTGGCCCTAGCTGTACTCTACCATGCCCTGCTCGCCCCCAGCTTCACCCTACCCTTCCCTCCTGGCCCTTCCTGTACTTTATGCTGCCATCTGGCCCCCAGCTATACCCAACCCTGCCCTTCTTTTCCCTAGCTGTACCCTATCTTGCCCTACTGGCTCCATCTGCACCTAACACTGCTCTTCCTAGTACTCCTTTTATCCCCCACTTCCCTCTTTAGTAATTATTTCCTACTGACATACCGCTTTATACTTGATCTGGTTTTCAGGTTACGCCAGCGATGATCTTGTTTTACGGGACTCCAGGCCAGGAATGGTCTACACATTGCTGGAAGATAGACCCAATCCAAGGTTGCGCCCCTGATGCTTTTCCCTCTTCATTGAAGTTGTTTATTTGGCACAACATGATTGTTCCCATCCTTGTGTTGTAATTAATTTTCTGTCAAATAAAACCTTAAGTTAGATTGATCTTTTGCTTTCCTTGACTCACATATACTTTTCATATGAATATAAACATTTAAATAGATTTGAAAACATGAAACATAAAATTGACCCGACATTACCAACACATCACAATCTTATTACCAGACTTAGCAAATTAAGATTTCCACTAAAATATTTTCTTAAAATTCTCTGATTTATTATGTATTTTATAATACATAGTTTAATGAGTACTTAGGTTATTTTCTACAGGCAAGGTAATAAGGTGTGTTACTTAGTGAAATATTTTTGCTCAGGATGAAATCAATTTGCCTAATTTTATTAATATACATCCTGCAACCTAGCAAAAATACAATAATTTACTGAGTGTCCATAAGGGAAATTTAGATATTTAAAATATATGCAGTTTTAGAACTTTCTTTTGACGATTAAATTTTAAGATTAAATTAAACTTAAAGATTAAATTTTGCAATTTCTTTACAAACTTTTGTTGAGTCCAGAAAAAAAATAATTATGTATATCTAAGCGTTTCACTTAATGAGTGTCATATCCTTTAGTCTATCTTGACTTCATATGATTTAGTTATGTATAATTCAAATAAGGTCAAGACAGATGATAATTGTTTTTCAATGTTTACATTTTACTTTATTATAGTTGATCTTAACAATTTATATAAATGAGTTTACTTTTAGTTACATTCAATAAAAAATAGATACAATTTATCCAGCGTGATTACTTATCAGCATTTACAATACCAGGCCACCCATTTGAGTCACAACAATGAGGGAAGTCTGAATAGGAAAATATTTAGTGAAAATCCAATCGGGCAAATGGAAATTTGCTTAGCTTTTGCAGGGGTTTTCTTTACCCTTAGAACAGTTCAGTACAATCAAAAGCAAAAAGGGGCATTTTAGAGCCCACCATTAAAAAATAAATAATACCTTGTTACAATAATAAGGTATAAATAATAAGCTGTATTTACAATTTACAGTAAATAGTAGAAGTGGATAAACACAGTACTGACAATCCAGTGGTATGTCTAGATGTAGCCCTATGATATGTATACATTATATCAGTTCAATAGTAATCATATTGCTGTGACTTGACACACACAACAGTCACACATTAGCTGGTACAGCAAGTTAGTAACTAAGTTATTAAGTAGCAAACATACCTATGGCGTGTATTCCATTGGCCAATGCAGACTTCATATATAATTAGAGACTTGTCTTCAAACGCTAAGTTGCGAGGCATCCACACAATGGAGTTGGCCACCTTTTGTATCTTGACTGGGTCTCGCTTTCCCTGGGCAAATTGAATGTTATTTCCAAACATCTAATAATAATGAATAATTTATTTTATTGGTCATCTGTATACATAACCTATAATTGACAAAGTCAACATTGTGGTTTAAAATAAATGTTCAGGAAGTCTAATTACAAAATAATTTGTGTAAGTCAAAAATTTTATGCTTATACATTTGAACTTGTGTTAAGGAAATATTTGTTTGGCAAACGGCCGTTAAATTGTTAACATGTTAATTTAATAGTTAGTGAATCTTTATGTTTGAATGTCAGTCTATTGTTATACCATAATGTTGGTTAACAACCATTATAGCATTACCTACAACGGAAGGTAGCAATAAGCTACCTGACCTGCATGGAAATTAACCACCAATTTTTATTTTCTCTACAAAATTTTTCCTCCTGATACAAATTTTATTTTAAAATCATTGAATTTTAAATGCATAAACCAGATGAAAAAGGTGGCTCTGTGACATATGTTTACAAGACGTTTTAGCGAATTTTCCATATATGAAATAAGCTATTCACATTAAATCTGAAATTGCCTGTCTGCCCGTCAAGGTAGGTACAGTAGGCCCTAAAACTTCACTAACTCGACACCCGGTAACTCAACAGTCCGTGTAACTCAACAGTCAACAAGTGACAGGGCACACACAAAAAAAAGCAATTTTTGTTTAATATTTAGATTTAATTGTTGAATTAGAAATGTCTTTAAATATTACTTATGTAATAAATTCATATGTAAAAATTAGTCGGTGGTGTTTCCCATAATCGCGGCTAAATCCTAGAGATATATCTCTCCCTTAAAAAAGAAACGTCATTATCGTCTTCCACAATCACGGCAAAATATTGAACATCTGCGGCCGCGGAGACATTGTCATCGTCACCAGCGGGGAAATGATCTCGTCGATATCCGCGATCGCGGCAAAAGCGTAGGCCTAATCTCTCAATTTAGTGAGCGTGATCCTCACGGATATAAAAGCTTTTACTTTTAATTGTGCATTATTGTATTGAATACTGAGAAAATCGGCTCAAGCTTGATTTTCTGACTTTGTGCTTGATCTCTCAAGCTTGTAGTCCAGGCTCTGATCGGCCCGAAAATCGACATTATATGCCCATTATAAAAATCAACCGTTTCCAAAGCAACCCGATTTTGAACCGATCTGTTTTGGCCTGAGGCCCTTAGGTAAGTAACATTTTTTACCTGGCTCAATGTAAACACATCTAATGTGCGAAGTAAACAAATCTAAAGGGCAGCCTCCTAATAGTAAGACATGAAATGAAATGAAAATCCTTCTTTAGCAACAAGGAAAGAATAGAATTATTTATTAGCTAGTGCCCTTACCTAGGTTAATTTGCCGATTTGGTCGTAACAAAATTGTCAAGTTTATTTAGTCGAATCAGCATAGTGGGCCCTCTCTGGTGTCACCCGCCGGGGGCTAGGAGGATTAACATTAATGTTTTATCTTCCTAGGCTAGAGGCCACATTGGTAATAAATAAGGCCCTTTTATCATGCAACAAATTTTGACTGCGTCTTCACACAATCCACGAGGACAGTTAATGCAACCCGCATGACTGATGACAATTCTTTTACTTGGGTTGGTAGATAATTTATATCGATCGGTCAAGTAATAAGTCAAGTACGAGGGTCATCTCAAAAGTAAGTTACACATTTGTTTGAAATCACAGCGTCGAGCGCTAGAAAGCTGGGAGTCGCGTGGAATTTTCGTCTGGATGTAGTGGCAAAACTGTAAACGTCGCGGCCGCCTACGGCACTCGCGGCACTCGCCCCCGCCCCTCCAGTATCGCTTTGGCAATCATTGAGACACCACTTGTTCCCACCGCCGATTGTGAAATCCGTGCAGTAATTAGATTTTTGACTGCAAAGAATAAAAATGCAAGTGAAATTCATCGAGAATTGTGCAGTGTTTATGGTGAAAATGTGATGTCTAGGCCAATGGTTTCCCGCTGGCGTCAATCGTTTATTGATGGACGAAAATCGTTACACGATGAACAACGAAGTGGCCGTCCGTTCACTTCCCGCGCTTTGACTGTAGTTGAAGATGTCCGCAAGGTCATTGACACCGACCGGCGCTTGACATTGGATGAAATCATTACACAGCTTCCTCCAAATGTTGAAATTAGTCGTGCGTCGCTTCACAGAATCATTTCGGACGATCTCAGTTTGTCAAAAGACTGTGCAAGATGGGTGCCACGCCTTCTTTCAGAAAGGCATAAGGAGCAAAGGGTTGATGCTGAACACAAACACAAGACCTTCTGGAATCCTTCCGATGGGATGTTTTCGGCCATCCACCTTACTCTCCTGACTTGGCGCCGAGTGATTTTCATCTCTTCCCGGAGTTGAAGCGGCATTTAGACGGGAAGCGCATTGAAAACGAAGACGAACTGAAACGGGAGGTGGAACAATGGCTAACCAAAATGGCGGCAGAGTGGTATGATGCTGGACGAAAAAAACGGTGGCAACGGTGGTTATCAAAAATGCCTTTAAAAAGATGGCGATTGCGTAGAAAAATAGTCTATGTATGTATCTTTTAAAATATACCCTTTCCAAATC